TTTATTACCACTGTAAATACAGAATCCTTCAGGGCCCTTCCAGGTGGCCTAAAATATCACAGTTTGTTGTTACTAGTATTGCTATTAAGTTGAATAAGGGTATACTGGATGCTGCCCAATAACAGGCCCCTTGCCATAGTGGCTTAAGGGTTTATAAGCACGAAACTAGTGCTAACCCTTAACCCTGTGTACACTTAGATAAATAAATAACCTCAAGCATGAGCCATCACTGCCTTGCCCTCATTTATTCAGCCCTGAAGTGCTGAATCTTCTCACCGAAGCCACAAGTACTGATAAAAGCTATAGATTTTTAAACAATGGGAGTAAATAATCTTCAAATTATGAATTTTTGAATGAATGCTATTGCAGATCAGGCCATCATGCTAACAATATGCACAGAAAGTGGTAACAATTACATACAATTATATATTACTATCATACTTTTAATACTCTGCTTCTAAAAACCGCCTTACATAATGCAATTGTACAACCCCAGTTAAGCCACAGATTAATAGATAGATGTATTTGACATTGGCTCAGATTTCCCATAAAACATGAAACTGTATTAAGGATTACAGTTTATAGTACAGAAATATAATTTGATGGGGATGTAATCTGAAGTCTGCAATGATTGATGATTAATGTTAATTTATCCTTTCAGATATTTATGACTTCCGATTAGTGGTGTGCACTTCAAAAATTCATTTTAATTTTGAATCGGATTTTTTAAGGGCATAATTTTTGGTATGTTTGTAATTATTTGGGGGCTCAGTTTTTTGGGTGCATTTCCCCTCCACCAGAAGCACAGGAGTGGAAAGAGAGGGAGAGAGAAAAAGCACATCCCAGCTCAAATGTTCTTCAGTGCACACTTCCTTTAAACTTTAAAGTGACATTATTTTCTATGGGAAAAGCGGGCGTCTGAATTTAAGCAGCAAGGTCCACTCCCATTTAAAATAATATTCATTTAAAATTTAAAAGGCTGATACACATCTGAAAATCTGGAAAGGTAGACTTGGTCTTGGTAGCTAGGTATACTACCCACAGGAAATAAGGGGGCCATTTATGTCCTAAGGCAGTAGACCCGGACTCTCTACCACCCAATGGACATAATGTGCCTACTAATTCCTATGGGCGGTAGACCTACCCTCTGAGGTCAGGTCTACCTTCAGCACTTACCTTCAGCACTCTGCAGTTGTTTAGTGATGCATAGCCTCTTTACATTTTAAAAGGATGTTATTTTCAATGGGTGTAGACTGAGTTCCTGAGTTTGGAGGCCCAGCCTTCCCATACAAATGAATGGGTTCAGTTCATCTCCCTCTCTTTCTCTCCCTTCCTGTTCCTGCTCCTCCCTGAAACTCAAAGCACTCCCCAAATTCCAGGAGATAAATTATTGTAATTTATGGGACTGGAGGAATATTTTGGATCATTTTAGATATTAATAAGCTGGCCCAGTACTTTTGGCTGGGGTGTATCTAGTACCAATAATAATAGTGAGCCATTCATTAGAGTGACAGACTAGGATCTATGGAGCCCTGAATTCAACTTCATACTGTTGAGTGACTCTGAGCCAGTTCTCACACTTAGCCCAACTTAGTTCTTAGGACTACTATGAAGACAAAATTGAGGAGATGACAACTATGTACACTGCCCTAGTCAAAAAATGCAATTGCTGAAGAACCTCCTAGAAAGTAGGTGCCCCAAGATTACAGCTAAACTTGCCAAATTTGGCTGGTTAGCTGTAAGGACTAGAAAGTTGCTAGTGAAAGATGAATAGAATGTCATTTGTTATAGGACTTAACATGTTTTACATACATGCTCTATTTGATATTAATTTTATATATTTCATTTATGCTTGTGGTTGTATGAATTTAGTCTGAGTTAGTTTGACTGTTGTATTAGAGTGCTGGCTTTTTGCTGTGAATAAATTTGTACTGTATGTACACTGCCCTGTTCTCCTCTAATGGTTTTTTTTTTTCTGATCTTGATCTAATCATATGAGTTTAATTGATTGATTGATTAAATCTGCATACAATTCCTTAAGAATAAAAACAATATTTTTTAAAAAAATGTGTATAGATTATATCTCTACTATCTGCCTTGGGTTGCCAGGTCTCTTCGAAACACCGGTGGGGGATGCTCTGGGAGCTGGAAGCCAACTTTACTGGAATTGATGTTGCATGTCACCCGGAAAGGCATTTCGTGGGCAATGCTGTGGTTTTTGGGCAAAACTCTATAGTAAAATTGCCCTTAAACAATAGAGTTTTGCCCAGACACCAGAGTGTTGCCCCCCTCCGATGTCACTTTTTTGGCCAGTGGTGGGCAGGAGCCCGCAAAAGCAGGGGATCCCCCGCCCCAAACTGGGGAATGAAAAACCTATATCTGCCGTGTGCTTTTTTCAGGAGTACTTTAACTGTTAAAAAATCTGTTGTTCAATCAACTAGGGGAATTTTTTGGTCAATTAAAAGTTGCTGATTAATAAATTAAACAATGCTAACCCAAATCTCACTGATCCGACAGTACTTTTAGCAGAATCCCACTTTTAAAAAACACATGATGGTGTGGAGGGAGTGGGGGGAGGTGAAACATTACCAAACTGTTTCCTTTATTTTCAGAGAATATATGGACAAAGAAACCTAACAGGTTGAAGGGAAAAAGTATTATTTTTAATCGTTATGAGGGGTGTCTATGATTTAAAATAGTAGGAGGATTAAAATTCAACAGAAATTCAGCAGAAATTCTGAAAAATATCTCACTTTCTTAGTTTCTTCTATTCCCCTTATTATGCAAATGGAAATATAGGGTTTCTATTATCAAGGAATCTAAGTACGCTTACAAAGTACACGGACATCATACTGCATGGAATCTTCTCCAGCTTCATTTACAGCCACACATGTATACCGTCCAGCATCTTCACTCTGAGCCCGTGGAATCTGCAAAACACGACCTCCTGGAAGGAAAGAAAAAAGGACTGAGGAGGATTTGTCACTGAACTGTTAAACACACTTCCAGGGTCAGCATCAAGGGTCTGCAACACTGGGCAGTGGGTCTGACCCAAGAGCTTAAGGTGGGCATGCCATCAACCCTGACCCACCATAGCACAGAATCAGCACCTATCATTCTGTTGTACTGCATTGCAATGGCAGAATCCCACACTTCTGAGCCACTAGTCTCAGCCTTCTTGTGTGAGCAAATGGTAGTACAATCAGTCATTGCCGCTCACTAATTTGCTCTCTTTCTCTGCGTGGCAATGGTGGCTGCTGCTCATAGCAACCTTCACCATTTGCTAGATGAAGGAAAGCAATGTCAGTATGAAGCACAACAGCTCCCACTGCCTACTTTCTGCCACCATCTGAATGAAGAGTGGGGCAAATAGGTTAGGTGAGATGATGCTAGTGCACTTACTGATGGTTGGCCACCAGAGGGCATCTTTCCTGGAGTGGGGGGAACAGGGAGCTGGTTCTGCACAGCTCCCTCATCTGATTTAATACCTATATATATGCATTTCCTCTCTCCAATTTAGATAAGGAGATCTGTGCTCAGGAGAAGGCCTCTGCACACAGATATTTTTAAAATTCTAAGCATTTGTATCCCACTCCATCTCGGCCCGGCCCCCCTCCCCTTCCCCCCCCCCCACGCCAGGGCTGGTGAGGCAGAAGCCTCCG